CCACTTGTGTTTACTGCCTGCAGCACTCAGCCTCTTTTGTTCCAGCAGGAGCTGTTAGTCTTTAAAGAAAATTGAGAATCAGTTATATTTTTTAAGAAGGCTTTGCGATGACTCACTCGTGTGTTTTTAATAGTTAATTTTTCTTTTTTTTTGCTTTATAATTGAACATCACTTTGATCTTTTCCTTGGCTTTAGTGACAATGACATACAGATGAGGACAGAATTATTACCCCCTCCCCAGAGCAAGAAATTTTCAACACAGTTTCCAATACAGCTGCAGATGTTTATTATTTTACTTTGCACACAGATACTAAATTATTTCACACAAACCAAAAACTACCAGAGTCTAAATTATAATCTTTCTCTAGGTTGTTCTTAGCATGCTACAGTCTTACTTGAAAGTGTCTCTTCTGCAGAAGTAGAATTGTTTTTGGTCTGCAGCCTTACAAGCCTCACATGCAGTGCATTCCTGTGCAGAGCTCTAGTGATTGTCTTAGTTGAGACTACAATTCCCAACTTGACTAAATCATTCATGAGTGTGTTGGCAGTTGTTCTGCTGTCTTTAGACACATTCCTCACTAGTTTTCTTTCCAGTCTTTGAAATCTTTTGCTTCCTACCTCTGCCAGGCTTGTTCTGTTTTGGGTGCCACGCTCTGAATTTCTTCATGATTCTTGACACTTGGAAACTCTGCAAAAACTTTGCATGTCCATCTCCTGCTTTGTGAACATCAACAATTATTTTTCTCAAGTCTAAGCTGATTTCTTTTGTTTTTCCATGATGTTTTCCAAAGTGACAGCAAAAGCTCTTGCTGAAGTTTTTATACTTTGCATAAACTGGACAATAATCTTCAGTTTTAACTTGATTTTACAGGCTAATAATATTGAACCTGGTATTTTTTTTCTAAAATAATTGTGTCATTGTGTGAAAATAGACCTAATTTATGCTTTCTAAAGAAAACTATCACGTTTAGAAATGCTATGTTGAAAATCCCTTGCTCTGTTAAAAAAAAAGAACTTTTGACAAAACCTTTTAATGTCATAGGGAGGATAATAATGTGATATTTATCTGTAACAATCTGTTGGCATTCTCCGGCTGTTTGAACAGAATCATACTCTCCATTGATTTGGAAATGCTAATATATCACGGAGAGGCAAAAAAGGAAGCAATCCCGCTCACTCAAGTCAAACCATAGCTCCTCTTTTAAGCTCCAGATATTGTTTACACTGTGTTTTGCCCTTGCTTGCTGTCATGCCTCGTGTATCCGTCCCTGCGCAATCTTAGAGCCAATCTCACCCAGCAGATTAATTACCGCTTTAATTTGTTTTGCTCTCTCAATAGGGTTATTGTTAATGAACTTCCTTACGCTGCCATTTCCCCTTTGACTGGATTAGGGAAATTATATAACAGCAGCATTGTCCCTACAAGTAACAGCCCGAGGCGGTCTGTCAGTGTCAGCATGCCTGTTTCGCTAATTCAATATACTGTAGTGACAGTGTGGTTCTGCAACGAAGACACGGACACAAAGGTGAAGTTAATGCGTCTTTATTTCATGCCTCTACATTTCATAAGAAAGGACAAACTCTGTAGATTTTTCAATCCCTTTTTTATAATAAAGCATCGTCCCTCTAGTGTTTCCCTCTGTCATAGATTATCTTTCAAAATATAATGCATTATCTACTCTTATGTACAAAGTTTCTCTACCATGTTTGATGTCCTGAAAATTATTCATCACATTAAAATGTTAAGCGAAATGAATACATCAACACTATGTAGTTACATGTACATTTTTTTGCACTGGGAATGGGATATTTGCTCAGCAACTTACACAGTTTAATTATCAAGACCACAGAGACTACTGTACTCAAAAAAAAAAAGAAATAAAATTGAGATGTTGCTATTCAAAATATTTATAAATCCCAGAGTTATTGTTTTATTTTATTTCGTTTATTTTACAGAGCTTGGCTTTAATAGTGAATAAAACTCATGACACACAAGTCAAAGGATGGAATCAGCAACTATTTCCTGTTCTTACCTTCAAACTTTCAGCTTTTGGTGTGAGAAAAATAGCGTAGTTTAGAAAAATGAAAGAGTCTTGCAGAAAGCTGTATGTCCACGATGTTGATATGGGTGCTTGATACTTGCTTCAACCCAGCTGGACATGCACTGTGTTGCAGGGGTGTGTAACTGTTGGAGATGATGAGGTGCTAGGATCAGTCAAGGGTCGTGTCTTGGCATGGAAGCGATGGTGTAAACACAACAATCTGAGGATCCCTTGTGCTCCATCTTTAGCGCTCCTTAGTTAATGCCAATATATGAGGGGTTAAGGTAGGAGAGGAATTTCTGCAAAGTGGAGAAAGTGATAAACATGCTGAACTAATTCTTAAATATTTTACTGTCAGTCTTTTCTGGAATGTGAAACTGATCATATCAAGCCACTAAGGAACTGCTTTTTGCTTCTGATTATCTTCCTCATCCTCAACAGCCTCAATTGGTCCAAACTGATTATTTCTCATTGCCGTTGCTTGGCAATGCAGGATGGCCAGACATGATGAGGTTAAGTTGATAAAGCTGGGACCTGATCTTGACTCTATTAGTCTTCACTGACACAGGCTCTGGGAGCGATGTGGCGCGCTCGCTACGTACCTTCTTTCCACTCTGCAGCTGCTTAGAAGAGACCGCAATCCTTAAGGTTTTCTTTGATGATGATGTCTGTCACAGCGTTGAACACAATTTCCACGTTTTTTGTGTCTGTGGCACAAGTCAAGTGAGAGTAGATTTCTTTCACACCCTTCTTCATGTTCAGCTCCAGGAACTGCGACTTGATGTAGTTGCTGGCATCGTCGTATGTGTTGGGGCCTAAAATAAAAAAGCAATTGATCAGGGGAGAAGGTTCAGAATAAT